ACCGTCGCGCCTGTCGCATCCATCACCCCGACAAGCCCAGCATGCACCTCATGTGGGCCGCCTTTGAGGAGTTGCAGTTGAATTTCGATGGTGCCGCCGATGTTCTGCAGAGCCTCGAGCAGCGCTGCCCCAACATACTCCAGGTGGCCTATCGTCGCATCAATGTGGAGCGTCGCCGCGGCTCTTTGGATAGATGCCGCGAGCTCTACCAGCACTATATCGAGGGCACAAAGAACAAGGCCATTGCCGGCAGCCTGGCCATCAAGTATGCACGTTTTCTCAACAAGATTTGCAACGATCTCGATGCGGGTCTGGCTGCACTGCAACAGGCACTGGAACGAGATCCGGCCAACACGCGTGTGGCCCTCCAGATGATCGATCTGGCGCTGCAGCGTCCCAGTGTGGACGAGAAGGAGGTCGTGGAGATCATGGACAAGTTCATGACCCGTGCGGACATTGAGCCGGAGCAGAAGGTGCTCTTTGCCCAGCGCAAGGTCGAATTCCTCGAAGACTTTGGCAGCACGGCACGTGGCCTGCAAGATGCCCAGCGTGCGCTGCAGCAATCATTAAGCAAGGCCAACGAGTCACAAAAGAAAAGGTAAGCAGCGTGCATCCCATCATTGTGTATCAATATTTTTATTTACTTTACTTTTGCAGCGACAGCAGTCCCAGCCGCAAGGCTTCCTTGGGCAGCAAGGACGGTATTTCTGCAGCAGGTCCATCTTCGGCCGCGGCGGCTGCCTACAACAACGGCGGTGCAACCGGTGCGGTGGGTGGTCCCAACTACAATTACAACTCTGCGAATGCTTCGGGCTATTACGGACAACCGAGCAGTGGGGGTGCTGGTGCTTATCCGGCGCCACAGCAGCAACAGCAGCAGTCCTACGACTCGTACTACAATCAGTGGGGCTATGGAACGGGGGGTGGTGCAAGCAGTGGTGGCAATAGCGGAGGTAACTACAACTATGGTCAATGGAGCGGCTATGGCAACTATTATTAATTAACTCTAAGAGCACTCACACCCTCCTACACAATATTTGGTTTAGTTGTTTGACCCGATCCCGATTCCCCCCACGAAATGTCTTAATAGACATTCTAACTGTAATTTTATATTGAATTTTTAGCTTTTACATACTCCGACTATGTAGCATATATCGATTGTGTCCAGATCTAAAATTTATCCTGCATTAAGTTTTATCTTCAAACTGATTATGTTGACTATGTGCGCGCTGCGCTTTGCCTTTGATACATTTTTATTGAATATTTGATTGTTCTCTTACACACACATACACACACACAAAATAACTTGTATGGCCCGCTCCAGACCCCACCCCACACGAGTATGCGTTAAAAATAAAAAGATATTAAACTCTTAATCGGTCCACCAAATTTTCCATGTATTCTCAAGAAGAGATTCCTTGACTGGCAGCATCGACTACAGAACTACTACATTAAATAAAATATAAACAATGTACAAGTATTGGGTGGAGTAAAAGTTAAAACTCCTAAAGATTGGGCCGATACCAGGTCACCTCCCCGCTGTTGCAGCCCGTAACGAGTAGGGGCTCTCGGGGACTAAATTTGGCACAGAGCACCACATCCTGATGCTCCGTGATGTGTGCCAGTTCCACCAATTGGCGTGGGCTCTGCTTCACCTCGTCGAATTTCTTGTAGCTGGGATAGTCGCAGCAGTCGGCGCTGTAGCCCAAGAGACGCACGCCATTGCCGTAGGGCGAGCAGATGATACGTCCGTCGGCGGAGAAGCCCGGCTCCTTGATGAAGCCCGGCTTGGTGTTCGTCTCGGAGGCATAGTAGAGCAGCTTCTTGGCATTCACCAGTATGGAATGGCCATTCGTTTTGAGCTCTGGTGCCGTGGTGGCCACAAATGGGACTAGGCGACGCGTTCCAATCTCCACGCGTACTGTTGTGCCGTTGGTGCTGATGCTAGTGCTGCTGCCGCTGCTGGTGCTACTCGTGCTGCTGCTTCTTTCTGATGTCGCTTCCTCGGTGCTGGGTGGACAGTCGGTGCCCGTGGTCGGCTGGCGTTGGCTTACCGCCGCCGCCGCTGCCGCCTGACGCAATGGTAAGACACCACTGCTTATAGCATACACAAAATTATATCCACTCACTTGGTTGTTGGCCTCACGCGCACGATTCTGGCGTGTGGCGCGCTCCTGTACGGTCACCTCTGCTGCCCAGATGTCGGGTATAAAGCTTTCGGGTCGATCGTGCAGATGCCTTGCAAATGCCGCGCTGCCACCACGGCCGGAAGTTGGATTATAGCGGAATAAGTGCAAGCCGCGTGTAACACGTCGGGTCGGACGCGCTGAAGTTACGTCTGAGCCCTCCAGAGTGGCTGGTGGCGTCTCCGACGTACTGGCTGCACGGCTGGAAGTGCTAGATGGGTGGCGTCTTTTGAGTTTGGATACCAACACCTCGTCCTCCTGTTCAGACTCAGCCGTGGGAACCTCCTCGTTGATGTCGTGTATGCAGGTCCACTCGCTCTGCTCGTCGCAGCTCACATTTCGCGTGAGCATGCAGCGACAGTGGGGATGAATCTGCAGGGCCATTATCATTTCAGCGTCATTCTGCTCCGGGAAGTCTGTGACCAGCTCGACGCGATTCTTCTTCTGGCGCCGAGAGAATACATGATCGTATTTGGCCGCCTGTGGTATGTACTGATCGCCCAGCTGCATGAGACGATAGATGCCAGGCTGCAAATCGAACAGAAACGTAGTCTAAAAAGTTTCTGCATCGATTGTCCCCATTCCAACACTTACTCTGAAGCCACTGAGGTCCTTGTGCAATGTGGTCAAGTCGAGGTGATGGATGATCATTATGTAGCCACCGCTGGTGCATAACACCAGCTTGTCGCCCGTCGGGGAGATGCGGCATCTCATGAGGCCGCTGGCATGGAACACACGCTGCGAGATGAGGCCCTGTTCTGTGTGCGAGGCAATGTCCCATGTGAATATGCTGCCATCGAAGCCGGAGCTGACGAGCAGCTTGTCCTTGGACGAATACTCGATGTTCTTCACCCAATTGGAATGGCCATGCAAGACCCGAAGCTTTTCGCGCATGTTGCGCAAGTCCCACAGTGCCACGGTAAAATCATCAGAGCCCGTGGCAAAGAGTCGCTCGTCAAAGAACCTAAAGCAGTGAGTGAGAGTGTGAGTGCTTGTCTGTCTGTATTGGTGGAGTGCCTGTGGTGGCACATGTATACTCACTTGATGCAGTTAACGCTGTCGGTATGGGCGTCGGGCACCTTGACGATTTCTTTCTGTGTGATGGCATCGAAAACCAAGACGCACTTGCGCTCGGTGGCGGCCACCAGCACATTGCCATCGGCATTGAATTCCAAATTAAAAATCGCCCCAGTGTGGCGTCCGGCCTCGTCGGGACGCAGATTCGCATGGTAGCTATTGAACATGTTCATTGTTGTGTATATGCGACGCATCACAAAGTCCTCGTCGCCCCACGAGCGAAAGCCACTCTCCCGGCGACTTAGATACTGCTCCATACTTGCAATTCGCATGCATCAGACACAAACAAAACCAATTTAATTTTAAATGATGGCCGCAACAACTTAGACAACAACTCTTCGTACCACTGTGACAACGTTATCGATAAAATATACGTCTGAATCTCACAAACATTTCCTCAACTCAGACTTTCCGTTTAATATTACTAGCAATCTAAGACTATCCGATTGATGATTTTATTTTCTAAAATATTGCTTTACTTTTAAGTACGCGCTTTATTAGATTGTTTATAAAATAAGGGTTTCTGCAAAAGAAATCAACAAAAATGTAATGTGTAGCTAATGTAATTTACTCCACTTTTATGTAATTACCAACAGCGACACCTGATGAAAAATATGTTTTCGTTTTTTGACAAATTTCTCCGTATTTTCTTCATACATCGCTAGTGGAAGCGGCAGTGTGAAAAATATACGTTATTTTACATGAACAATTTGTGACAATTTGGAATTAATTTAGATTTTGATGGAAAACGATCAAAAATTTGATGCTGATCACGAATTATTACTCGATGTAGCCTGAGACATATCTCTAAATGGGACTCTACACTTTTCTACATTGGCGTATTGGACAAGAGGGTGACGCAAAGCGCGTCCTTTAAAATACTGGAAATACACAGTTAACTATATAAAAAGGATCATCGTATAAGTGGTTGCCTCATATTCTGCGATTTTGATTTTCTGTTTAGTATAACCAACCACCTAAGACCCTCAGCAATGAAACTATACTTTTCTCCGATTGATAGATAAATTTGCCCAAAAGGTTGTTAGTTCTCAGATCATAAAATAGATTAACTTGGCTTAATTTTTTGATAATTTTTGGCAATATGTGCCGGGTGTGGCCAGAGTGTGCTTCGAGTTGCACAAATTGGCAGACTATCCAGGGCTGCTCCACTGTCAGAATTACCATTTACCTTTCAGGATACTTTTATATGTACTTTACTTACTTACTTTTTTTATGTGTATATTTATGTAAATCGGCTTATAATAATTTTTTGTATGAAATTGATCAATTTTATTGTCAATATAGTTTTATTTAGAAAATAAATCTAAAGGTTGAAAGCATATCAATCTAAGATAAAGACATTTTTAATTTTTAAGAGCAGCTTTGAAAACGAAATTTTAAAATAATTAATGGAAATAAATAGGGTACACAAATGTCCATACTATTCTATAACTACCAGTTGACAATCAACAAACACTCAACTCACGTTTTATGCTATTTTCTTTTGCAATCCAATAAAAGAAAGTCATGAAAACTAGCCAATCTTGTGGAAAATTGTTGAATTGGATATAACCATAGTTTTTGCGTTGAGAGTCCTGACTAGCTGGTAATAATAAATAGAACATCAAAATCGAGAAAAATGATTGTAAGATTTGTGGTATATTTACGGCAAATTTTTAAAATGACAAGGTATATTTCGGCATACCTTTGAGAGTGGTGCAGAATACTTTATCGTTAAGCCCGCGGTCACACTGTCCACCATGTATCTGTGAAATAAACAAAACGCACTGCAAAAAATGAAGTAATTAACGATGTAGTGCTGTTGTTTTTGAGCCACTAGTGAATTAATTTAAAGCGGGGGCAACATGGAGAGGTTTGCATTTAAGATCGATGCAGCGCTCAAAGCGAATCTGTACAAGATCTGCCGTCTCTGCGGCATCGATAATCCAAGCAAGGTGCAAATTCTGCCGCCCAATGAGGCCAATATTATAGACCTGGACGATCCGAGTTTATCCCAGAAGGTGTTGGAGCTGATTGGCTTTACGGTAGGTCTTAAGACGCCCACTTTTGGTTCGATTCAACAACGCCCTTTACAGGTGACAGTCGATGACAAAATGCCGCAGACAATGTGCAGCATTTGCGTGGATAAAATCAATGATTTTTACGAGTTTAGGGAAATGTGCTATGCCACGAACAAGCAGACGCGCAACCTGCTGGGCCTGCCACAGCTGGAACCCCTAAAGGTAAGCGCAATCTTAGAAGTAGATGTGATCTTCTGAATAATCGTTTTTTGTCTCAGCTCATATGCAGCCAGTCCATGGTTAAGGCAGAGCCGCAGGTGCCTGGGAAGCGAGGACGAAAACGCAAGACGGATGAGAGCTTTCTGAAAGCCAAGATCACCGAAATGCCAGATGTAAAAAAGGAGCCCTTGGCCTGGCGCAAAAAGCAGCGACTGCAGCAGACGCAGACTCAACAGTATCAGCAGCTGCTGGTTACCAAAACAGAGCCAGAAATGTATAAAAATCCAATTAACCAATAAATTTTCTTATTATTAACCAATTGATACTCGCCCCACAGCAAGGACGAGCCCATGGATCCTGAAAATCGTCTCCGACTGCCAGGGAAAAAGGGCCGCAAGGCGATATGCAGTGTGTGCGGGGAAAAGTTCGCCAGCAAGGAGATGGCCGATGAGCATAAGAGCGCGGTACATGTACCCTCGATACCGCGATACATTTGCAACGCCTGCAATCAGACGCATCACAACCCGACCGACATTCGAGCCCATCAACTCTGGCACAAGCTGTCCAAGACGCCGTACAAGTGCCCGCTGTGCGACTCGTATGTGGCCAACAACTACGCCTTTACCCGTCATCTGCGGGAGCACACGCCACAGACACCTGTTCAGCTGCTTGTTCTCGATCGCGAGTGTCCACTGTGCAAGAAAACGTTCATCACAAACTTCTTCTACAATACCCATCGTTGTGCCATACGCAAACGTAAGTGTGGCGGCTGCAATCGAACCCTCAACACGGAGGTGGCCTTCTTGCGGCATGCCCCCGTCTGCTCAAAGATCTACCTTAGCCACTCGAAGCACATTATGCCCGAGGAAGCCAACACCGAATCACAGATGTGCATTAAAAACGAGGTAGAGGAGGTGGACAGCTCAGGTTGCCCTACCTCTGTTATACCGCCTGACTTTTTCATTAACGAGGACATGCAGCCGGTTGTGGTGCTCGAGCGCCTGGCTTCGCCTCTGCTGCGAGCCTTTTCTGCAGAGCCGCAGAATACTTTGGGAGCCAGCAGGAGTACAAGTAGCGAGCGAGTTTCCTCGAAAAATTATTTGAAGCGCGTCGACCAGCTGCTGAAGAGCACAATGAGCACGTTGGTGAGCATCAAGCACGAGCCAGAAGTGCACATAAATGATACGATGCAGACAGCCACCGTGCAACCGGAAAGCGAACCAGAGGAGGAAGAACCTGCCAGCTTCAGCGACTTCCATGCAGCCAACGATGACAGCGATGAGGAGGAAGCGGAAGCTGCGACGATGGCTGCCAGCATAGACGACAATGTTCCCAGTGTATCGGTGAAGCAGGAGCCTCGTGACAATGCCTACGAAAATCAGTCGCATGTTAAACAGGAGCCACTGAAGCTGAAGCTGAAAATTACCAACAATCATGGAAAGCTGAACTCTTCGCTGATCGATGAGGCGGGGCAGAGCAAGAGCAACAAGAAGAAAAAGAAGCGCAAGCACAAGGAGCGGGAAAAGGAAGCCGAGAGCCAACCAACAGCTCAGGATCTCCCCATGGTTAGCATTAAACAGGAACGCATAGACGCAGAAAATGTGCCCGATGGAAATCAGAGATCAACAGATTTCCAGCCCCAGGCCACTGTGATGACTAGCATACCGATGGCCCATCTGGAGAGCAGCTTCACAACGGAACGGGACGAGGCAATGACGCAATGCCCTGAGCCCGAGAAAGATGTCAAGCCCAATCGCATGGAGCTGGATCGCCTCATGCAAATCACGCATGTCGCCAGCGGTGTGGACATAGCCGAGGAAGCCATGCCTCTGGACAAGGCCGTTGAAGCTACGCCCGATGAGCCACTGCCCGCCGATGATACATTCATTATGCCACCAAAGGCAAAATCAGCCAAGCCAACTGCCCGTAAGAGTACTGGTGGAGCCACACGCAGGCCGCCTTCAGCAGAAGACGCTTCGCCTCGGGAGACGACAGCACCCTTGCTGCAGATTGTGGCCGTGGAAAGTGGAGAGGCTGTATCTTTCAAGATGCCAGCCGATATTCGCATTAAGCCAGAGCCTCGTAATCGCGGCTATGCTGACGATGAGCGCGAGGACAAGCCCACGCAGGAGATCAATCACAATGAGAAGATCGACGAGGAGAATGCCTTCATCAATAGCCTGGACTTCAACAATATGATCGTGAAGCAGGAGAAGGACCTGGACATTTCCGATCAGACTGGAAATGGCTCCGACCCGGGGGCCATGCACCAGAGTCACAACGGCTTGGAAAGGGGCAGCGAGAGTGAGGACTCTGACGGCGAGGACAGTCCCTCTGAAGCCGATGAAGCCGAGGAAGCTATGGAGGAGGATGAGGGCGAACGTATCTATCGCGAGATTGAATTGCCATTACTAGAGCCAGAAAAAGAAGGAGAAGCAGACAAACAGCAGAGCGAAAAGCAATCGGAAGAGTCCATACAGGTGCAGGAGGCACAGTCGGAGAATCTGGAACTAGAGATGCCAATGGAAACTCCAGTAGTAGTTGGATGGGTCGAACAGCCAGCTGTGGAAGAGTCCATACAGGTGCAGCAGGCACCGTCGGAGAATCTGGAGCTAGATATGCCAATGGAAACTGCAGTGGTTGTTGGAGGGGTAGAGCAGCCCACTGTGGAGTTGGTGCAGTCACAGGAAACTCCCACAGCAAACGCTCCAGAGGAGATGCGGCCGCAATTGTCAACACTGCAGGTGTTGGGAGAGTTGGATTCGTTGCTGGAAGTAACAGGACTGATTGGAGAGGTAGATCCGCCGCAGGAAGCTTCCAAAGATTTGGAGGAAATAAAGCCGCCGCTGAACACTCTCGACGTTGTTGAGGAGATACATCAGGCACTGGAAAATCTAGACGCTGTTGGAGATATGGAACCGCTAGTGGAAATTCCAGAGGGGCTTGTGCAGATAGAGCCGCCACTAGATACTCCAAACATATTAAGTGCACAGGAGCCAGTCAATGCTTTTGATTTTGTAATAACTGACATCTGCAGCCAAGCAGCAGAGATTCCAGAAATCGCTTATGTTCAGAGTCAAAACATACCGAACTTAAGCTCTTCCCCGCCGAATCCAGAGCCGCTGGAGAATGCGGACACTGAGCACGACAGCAGCGATTGCCAAGCGGACACCCTTCTAGAGATTATCGTCAATGCACCCAAAGACAATGAAACACAGGCCTTGCCATTCAATTTCGAGACAGGCACCGCCATCTGTGACGAGGAGCAGCAGAATGTGCTCAACCATGAGCTCTCCGAACAGCAAGCTCCACTCGATGGGAATGTGGAGCAATCGGCAGAAGCCGAGGAGAAGATTTTAGCAGTAGAAGAGGAACTGTGCCTACAACTCGAGGAGCAGGAGGAGGAGCTGCCTGGGCCGTCGGCAAGGCCAAACGAAGAGACTGAGAATCGCATCAATGAGCAGCAGCAGGAGATGGATCTAGAGGGCCAACGGCAGCCCCGCTGCCAGCTAGATGATGACTCGAACATCAACGAAATTGCGGAGAACAACAATAATGCCAACATTGAGCGTGAACTGCAGGACGATTCGAATGTGCCTCAGGAAAACGTTAGTCCTTAGACTCTACCTTCAACACTAAATTAATTGAATTGGTTGCTCTCAAGCCATCACATCATCTCGTTTGCACTCCCAAGAAGCTGTACATATAAATAATATCCCATTGGAGAAGGCTGGATGTTAGAGGGGATACGTCTATAAACACGTACACAATAGTTTTTAGACTACCGAAAGGGCGAATTCACTTTATGATGATGTTAACGTTTAAGTTAGAGATACAACAATTTATTATATAAAAGAAAAGCTTATAATAGTATTTCAATACAATACATAAAGTGCACATAAATTCGCTTTTATTTTCAGATTTTGAGAAATTATTGTATTGAATCATAAGTTATACTGGGGAATCCTCATACTATTCTAAAAGCTTCATGACCTACAATATCCGATTCCCTGGAGTCCCTCAAGGCACAGTTGATTTTAATGACATTTTGTTTGTGTTATCGACATAAATTATATTTATAAAATAAAATTGTACATGTTCGTTTCTTCTAGATCATATATCCCAAATGCATTTAGTATCAATCAATCTGGCATCCCACCAATCCACTTCACTAATTCGACAAGCATTTCAGAAGATCTATTGAAGTTTACATGTATGTACATACATATATGTATGGAAGTTTTATATCAAGAATTATTTATATACCATCACATTTGCCTTGGAATCCTTGGAATTCGAAATTATTCAGTTTTACACTGGCCCCTAGTCAGCCAACATCACAAAGTTTCAGCATCACTCGATTTTCCCTGTGACAACAAAAAATAAAAATAAACATTTTCAATTTACTTTGAAACATGTGGTAGGAGTTCTTAAACAAACTCATGATTAATCGCGGTCCATCATTGTCTCAACATTATATAGAACGTAAACTGAATATTCGCTTTGGAGCGTTGGAACTCACGTACTGAGAATATTGGAGCATGAGCAAGATTAAGAAAATGCTGTCAGGGTTTTTGACTGACTTCCACGGAAATGTAATAGCAATGTCAGTATCTTTTATTTTAAATTTGAGTTCAATCCTTTTTTGATTGTTTTTAATTTGGATATTGAAATTTTGCAGAATTTCCAAAATAAGAGGTATCAACAGGGTTGAAAATGCACCAGTAGAAGCTCCTTCTCCGGCAGAGTCCTCAGTCAGCCAACAAACAAGTCATCAAAGTCCAGAGAATGAGGATAGTATCAGTGATAGTGTGAGTAGCGAGGGAAGTATCGATGATAGGGAAAGTCGCGAGGACAATAATGGGGATGCGGAGATGCTGGACGCGGAGTTATCCGAGGAGGAGTCAATCGCAGAAGAGCAGGTGAACACAATATACGAAACAGGTTACCTAATGGTATATAATACAGAAATCTTTAGGATACAATGCAGACATTAGTAACCCTTCCCAGAACTCGAGGAAGAAAACGCAAAGCGGAAGACAATTTTAACCAGAGCACAGACAAGAAACCGAAGACGAAGGATTAGAGAAACCGTACGAAAAAATAAATAGTGTTCAAGCAGAGACGCACTTGCACTTCCTCCAAGGGCAGGAGCTGTTATGGCTCGACAAATCTTGCTCTTGGTAACTTATTCCATTGGGTTATTCTTTCCGCATTATACTTTTCTTGGGATTTTTATTACGCTAGGATAAACCTATAAATATACCACGGATGCAGCGAAGAGAAGACCGATGACAAGAATATAAAAAATAAACGTGAATTTTCTGTTAGATGTACACAACTTTATTACATAAATTAATGGCTTATATATTAGTATATGTAAGTAGTATGTATTCAAATACATAGATCGCGCGAAACATGATTAGACATGCGGCACATACAATATAATATTATTAATTCTGATCCATATAGATTTCTGGCGCTCATACAAGCTTATTGGTTTAGTAATTTCGAAAAAGTTATGAAAATACACCGTCGTACCGTACATATTTTTCGTTATCCTTTGTTTAAATATTACATAAAACACACACAGAAAGAAGGAAAACAAATGACTACAAATTTGCATTAAATGCTCTATCTATCTATAAAGAAAAATACATACTTATTAGTTACTAGATGCTCCATTTTCTGGATGTTGTATTAGACAGCTTTCGCTTTACGTGGAAGTATTTTTGTGGTGGTTAGGGAGAGGGTAATACATTTAATTTTTGCAACGACCTGTTAGTATGTATGGAATTTAAATTAATTATTGAGCAACTCGTTTTATATCGAATTTAACTGTGGGATAAGTCTACTAGTTTAAACATTAAACTTGCGGATGATCGTACGTATTTGGAACTGTCTGGGTCTTAAGCACAGCGGATTTTAATTACATATTTGCATGTGTTTATAGTTTTATAAAATATACATATATATTCTGCTATATTCATTCAGTTTTAAGTTTTGCTTATTTTATCAATGGATATCCCATTCGATAAAGTCGCAGTTAAAGTCAATTTCTGATGTTTTCACAAAAGTCACAAAAGTTGTTTGGATTTTGGTGTTCTCGTCGAGTTTTTTGGCACTGATCAAAGTTTGCATTTCATTCATTTACATGCGCATATATCTATCTTTATATATATATATGTATATATATATAAAACGTGTTTAATTGAGCAGGTTTTATGGATATGCAAATGTGAATTGGAACAATCGAAAGCGACAATGCCGATAATACAGATACACATATGTAAAGTTAATCATCTGTTAGTACTTTTGTTGGTTTTGCATTTGCGTTTGCGTTTGCTATAAAATTAAATTAAAGAGGTATGGAAATTCACTAAACAGTATTTACAGGGATTTATCATCCATCTAACGATAAACCAAAATGCCAAAAGCACATATTTCATTATTGCTTATATTTGGAATAGTGTCTGCCACATAGATTGTGTGTCATCTGCTGCTCAACTAGTCTGCTGCTTAGTCCCACTCGCCATCGTTGTCCGTGGACTCGCTCTCGTCGTCATCCGAATGCATGGCAGTGCCACGGGCCGCTAGTGCCCGACGCAAAGCATCGGCCAGGGCATCGGTGCCCCCAGGGCCACCATCGGTGCTAACACGTTGGCTGCCCAGTTCCCGTTCAGTGGCCGGCTTCAGTTCAATGCCCATCCGTATTTCAGTCATCAGATCGCTGCGTGAATCACCGCTGCCAGTGCTTAGAGCAGCCGTATCCACTTTCTGTTAAAGAAGAGTGTTAACGGTTATCCTCTCTAATCTGTGGTTTGATCCTCACTTTACTCACCTTCAATTGTGTTCCCTTGCGAATGGCGTCCATCAGGGCATTATGTGAGTCTGGAGGCGCTGCCGCCGCTGCCGGTGCTCGTTTAACTGCTTGGGTAGGTGCTTGTGTCGTCGTAATAATGGGTATTTCTCCAGCTGGCATTGGCGGGGGTGGTGGTGGTGGCGCCGCTGCCGGTGGCGGCGGTGGTGGTGGAGGTGGCTGCAAAAAAATAAAAGGATTAGTCAATGTCCACCGCAGTGATTGTAGATTTTGACTGCTTACCGCTACAGCTGGTGCGGTGACGGGCGGTGGTGGAGGAGCACTGCCGATGGGTGGTGGCCGACTGGGCGGAGGAGGTGCACGCGTGGCACCCGGCACCGTGGTTGGCACTGGGGGTGGTGGCTGCCTGGCCGGCGGCGGAGGAGGCGCGGTTCTTTGGTTACCATTCTGCGACTGAAGTAACAAACACAAAAGATGCTATAAGTGAATCAATTCTTGTGTTTCCTTTAGACGCACGACACTCACATGATTATGGCGGCTCGGCACTGGTGGCGGCATGTGAGTTCCGCTCACTGGCGTTGGTTCCGTCGGTGATTTCTCACTCTCCGGCTTGACCGTGCCCAGCACATTGTTGCTCTGTATGAAGTCGTAGATGAAGGCGCGCGTATCACGATCTTTCAGTTCCATCTCCGAGACGCCTGCCTTCACAAAGATTTCGTTCAGCATCTCGTCGTCCTCGTTGCCCGTCAGATCGAAGCCCTTGTCCGCGTCCCAGCCCACATGGCTGATGTGCACAAAGTTCGTCGGCTGGCTTATGTCCGCTTTGGTCACCTTGCGTTTCTTGTCCTTGCCCTGGCTGCCCAGGCCAAAGTTGCTCGACAGGAAGTTTTTTGTGGGCGCTGGAGTCAGTGTCACTGAATTGATTTTATTGTTGCGCAGCTGAACTGGCCCGCCACCGTCCGTGGCCGTCATGCCGCCACCTCCGCCGCCAGAGGACTGCATGGGCGGCGGTCGCATTGGTTCGAGTGGCACCGGCGGCACTGGAGCATTGGGCGCCTGCTGACTCTTCTGGCGATTACGCTTCTCCTGACGCTTGCGATTACGCGTCTCGATGGTGGCGTCCACAATGCGAAAGAAAGCCTCGCACTCCTCCTCGGAGACAAAGTTCAGGCCCACATGGCCATCCTGCCAAAGGAGTGGATAAAAAGGAGGATTAGTTGTGCAATTTTGCAGATTAAATGCGGCACACTTACGCTGCCCTCGAAGGTAAGCAAAAAGGGTCGCGATCTGACAATCTGCATGCCATCGTAGATCTCGTGCTCCCAGATGAGCTCGCTCTTGATCAGGCAGTAGGCGCGCAGGAAGTACGACCTTATGGCGCTGTCCTTCACGAAGCACACCACTCCCGTGTGTTTTTTCTTCCAGTGCGAATGAGCATTGCCTTCGGTCTTGTAAATTTGCACAACGGCCGTGTTTAGTGTCTGAAAGTGGAGCAAAAGCAAAGAGATTGCGTTACCATCATCATCATCATCGATTGATAGACAGAAAGGCCTGTCCCCGTCCCCTTTGGTGATTATCTAATCTCCGGCCCCCAAACAAAAGAAGTAACACCTTCAGTTTGCGCCTCATTTGAATGCAACGTCTGAAAACTGTGAACACTGTGAACTGTCGCGTTCGAGTTGAAAAACCCATCTGACTTTCGGTTTCGCCGACACCAGCCAGCCACAGCCCAGCCACTCTGTGGCCCTACGCAAAAGTAGCGCTCATTTGAATACCGATTAGCCACCAATCCCCATAGATCCCATCATCGTTTGGCATGGACAGCACGTAGCTCCATTGGATGGCTCTACTCCCCCCAACAGCGAGAGAGAGACAGTGGCCACTAGTCTAGCCAAGACCTCTCCATAGAGTGCAACGGAAATGCATAATGTGGCGGTTTTACTGAACACATAATCGTTGAGACATTGAGGCAGGAAACGCTGGCGACAGGAGGTGACTTAGCATCCACAGAATTGCCGCATCTGATATCCTTTGCCAAAAGAATACTAGAAAAGGCACAGAGTGGCGCCAGAAAAGTCAAGGCCCAAGCCCCACATTCGACAGGGTATTTTCTCAAGGCAAGGCAAAGCCTCTCTCCCTCTCATTGATTGATACAATTGTGTGATTTGTGGCAATAACATTTGACATTTGCCACTGGCCATGGCCCTCCCCATTCTGCCCTTGAGGGCACTTTCTGCTAATTGATTCCGCTCTGGGAAGTGCTTCAAAAGTTTCATTGGAAACATTGCCTGCACTGACATTACAGTCCAACATTATCAATTAATGAGAGCATTAGGATGGATGCCAAAGAGCTGTTTGATTTAATGTTTGATGGGTACGACCTTTGTAGCAAATTGCTACTCGGATATGTGGGGATTATGTGAAATGTGAATGTGAATATGAATATTTTTCAACCCACATGCAGCAAACACTCACATGCATACGCATAAGTGTCTTTTTCTGTGTCTACAAGTGCAAAAGTGTGAAATAAATTTGAAATTTTATTGATGGCCTAGCGGCCTCTGCCTCTGCCTCTGTATCTTTGTATCTGTATTTGTGGATTTACTGACTGTATCTGTGTGTGTCTTTGGACATGCATAAGTAGCGCTTGTAAAAAAAATGATGTCTTGCCTTCTATGTAAAAGCTGGCTGTTTTTTTTTTAAAAGCATAAAAATCGATGGCACTGCCAGCAACAAAAAAAAAACATCAACAACTGGCCATTGCCACTGAACTCTGGCCGAGACGAAGGGGGTAAAGCGGTAGGTCGGTAAAGGGGTAGGGTACTTTAAAACGGGCAATGCCGAGCATTAACCCATATGAGACCAAAGCTGTAAATACATACATATGCTGAAACGCACCGGAGGAGACCCAGGGGACGGGCTATACGTGTACTCGTAAAAGGTTCCATGCACTAAATAAAATCGGATGTATACTCTCTAGTAGAGCATTATCATTTTGGGCAACAATTTGCCATACTGTAAAATCTTACCCTCTCGATTCTGTCTTCCTGTTTCTATGAAATTCTATGAAGTGTATTTTTAATCACTTTTGGCATACTCGAAAGTCGGAAAATGGAAGGGGTAATTCTCTTGAGATGGATATAGTATACGTACATATTTCCCATAGGAACGATCCTTAACCAAACGTTTCCACATAATGGAATCTAACAAAACTTAACACAATTTGACTCTCGTATATTCAAATAATTTAGACAAAATTCGGAAAGCTATAGTTGTAAGTGTGATAATAAGTGACTAACTAGCATTCAAAAAGGGTATCTACAGCTTCGAGCATCTAAGAAAGTATGTTTTCTTTATATACCAAGTTGTTTTGTGGTAATTTGTGAATGCAAACAATTATTTTTAAGTCTTAATAAATATACATGTACATATCTAACGAGTGTTTTTGGGTTATTTTTAGTAAATTAAAAAGATATACAAACAAGTTGTCTCAATGGAAAATAAATAGTGATTCAAATAAACAGAAAGCATCGCCTAAACAATCTCTTGTCTACATTTGAAACGTCTATTATTGCAAACCAGAAACCCTCAAGCCCCGCAAACTATCTTTAATAACTACAACTAGGGTAGAGGCCGCAGCAAAAGTTCAAAATGAACATACATATGAACATTTGTACATCAATTAGAAAGTACGGCTTTTGGGATATGTGCAAAAATGTGCGTTAAACAAATAAAAGGCGAGCAAAATGTTGCGACAAATGATGGCCATAACAAACGAACGCCTGGCCTGTCCTGCCCCGTCCCCTCGGCACCACTTCCACTTGGTTAAGCTGCAGCTTTTCGTGTTATCAAACGATCACTGAATGGAGCCACAAACGACTATGTCATCAACCCAATATATAAACTATATAAGAGTCAGTCCCGTCCCCTTCCCTACCCACTTTGACCAAGCTCAAATGCAATTTTCCCAATGTTTTGTCAATGGAAAGTTGGGTTTGGAAATTGGAAATTATCAAAGCGTGGAATTACAATGCGAAAATGAGCAATGTTTTTCGTGTTGAGCACACCACACCATACACCATAATTATACGCATAACAGTGCACGTTAAATGTTTAAAATATTTCCAACTTTTGCTTTGAACGGGAATTCTTATCGGCGAATGGCATTGGCCAGTGCTTCAGCGGATGGATTGATAAGATATGGGAGCCCAACTGAAAGAACTAGCGACTTATCGCCCATGAGCATGAGCAATGTTTTGCGACTTTTTGGCTTCTCTTTCACTCAGCCCCGAGAAAATTGGCCAATGAAAATCAAAAATAATAAAGAAAACATCTGCAAATAGTTTTTGTAAGCTATTTAAAGTTGTTTCTACTGATTAAGGTTCAGGTAAATGGAGTTTAAACAACACTTAAAACTTTGCAGACATTATTTGGGAAATGTTTCTAGAACAAAAATACATTTCATGCACGTTTGTTAGTCAGCTAAATATGAGTGCAAGTCAATAGCCGAGCATTTATATAGAAATAGAGTTATCAGAGCTGATAAAACACCAAGTCAATGATAAGTAAATATATGTATGAAATCAACAATAGCTCATAAAATAGAACCGCAACACTAAACAACACAATAAGGGACACACGGATGAGTCCATTTGAATATCTGACTGTTGTTTTTTGATAGGTGAAAATGGGTTATTAAGCCAATACGAGTATCGGCAACAGCTGCGCCCCGATATAGGGTTACAAAGGCTGCTTCTGGGAAGTATTCAAACTGTGGCACATGACCCTCGTGGAGTGGGGCGACACTTGAGTCGCAGGAAGTGCTTCATCAAGCTCACTGGCTAGGCCGAAGATAGACAGAGACGGAGAGAGAAACCCCCGAAAGTGAGAGGAGGAGGGGCACTATACTCTGTCATTGCTTAATTATTAATCACATAGGTATGTATATACATACATATAAATATGTACATATATGTACGCATTATTCATCAAAAGCCAAAGCCACTCACTCACCTGACACTTTCTCCCGAGCATCTTGAAGACTGCTTCGTTCTCCTCCGGATTGAGCATTGTGCTGCTGGCATTGAGCTTGGGTCGAGACAGCGCTGCTGCCTGTTGGCCGTCCTGCGACGTCCTCATGATGCTGCTCATTGATGCGACAGCTGCCCCGCTGGCCTGCGCTCCTGCTGCTGGCTGCTGGATGGCCAAGGATGACCTGGATTATCTGGATATATGGAACACACACACACACATTTCATTTACATTTCATTTTTTGGGAGTGGAGGGCGAAAACAATACGCAAATAACGGCACCGCTGGCTACTTGTCAACAGATGAATAAAGGGCATACAATACACAGCACACACAAAACAAAACGAGATATAATTTTAATTTAATCATCAAATCACGCACACAGAGAGATGGAGAGGGTGAGCGCTGCTCTGCTGATGAGGTCGAAGCCCAAAAAAACTTGGGAGGCGCTTTGTCGATAACAATACGAATGCACAGTTATTGCGAAAAGGCCAACAACTGGATTTGTCGCCCCATTCAAATGAAATATGAATAGTGGAAAATGGCAAGAAGACCGAACGAAGAAGCACGGAGCAAGAGAGCGACCAAGTCGCGACGATGACAGCGACTACGACTGCGGCGCGGCTACGGGCTATGACGACGATGGGCTGTAACAATCGCTGCTGCTTGGATCGGTTGAGTCACAGGTCTGCGAGTCAGCCACAGCAAGCAGCTGCCTGCCGCTTGGTTGGGCCATTGTGGTTAATGTGCTCTTATCTTTGGCAAAACCACTGATTAGGCTTGCGCATGTATCTGAAATTCTTATGACCTGCTGCTGAGTGGGTGTATTGCAAAGTGCGTTAGCTATTTAGCAGGCCCAAAAAAATGGTTCATAGGAATCGCAACCAAAAACACAGACTCTCTGGACAAGAGCTAATACTAGGCACCAACACCTGTCCGCTCTCCAGGTGGGGTCGAAATTTAAATAGCTGAAGCAGCGCTGGCGCTCGTTCAAGGTCTTTCAGCCCTGCCGTCGCGCCTTGCCTCGCCCCATCCATCGACTGTGCCCCCACCGACTTCTTTATGATGGGTTCTGTGTTTCGCATATGCACTTTAACAATTCATTGATTTTTTGCGCTTATTTTTATACACTTTTTTTTTGGATTTTCATTTTTGGACTACGCACCACACACGCTCTCGTTTGCACTCGCTGCGGTTCGGTGCTGAGACTTGAATCGCCTTGAGGGTGATGCACATTTATTGCCAACTGTTTCGCGTCGCCTGCTGCATTGTAGAATTGTCGCCAGACGTTTGTTTCAGCACAAAATCGTGTATATTTTTGTTTATTTGGCACTGCACGCCCACCCACGAACAGTGTGGCTGCGAAATTATCGGTGGAATATACCGTCTGACCTTCAGAAACATACCAAAATATATCATCTCGTTCTAAAAATATACCGTAAATATACCGAGGAATATCATATTCCTAAATTTCGTGTGTCTATTTAAAAATACCTGCTGGTTAGGAACCTCACCACCGAACTTATAATATTAGCCGATTGATGAATCAATTTCTACAAGATTGGTTTAAGTTAAGGACCCCATTGGATAGAATTGTTTATATCACGGTATCTGAAGTGAAATGTGGTATTTCCTTGCGTTTAAAATGTCCTAAAAAGCTTTTAAGACCATGTTCTTAAAATGTCCCAATGGGATATTTTGCGGGGACCAAGTTTTCCGTTTTCCATAGAGTACCCCTACTGTAACTGTAGACGACTAATTTTATGCTAGTACCAAAAAATAACTCGATGAGAGTGTGGCGCAACTGTGCCATGTCAAATGTAGCAAGTATGTAAAAATGTGTGTATGCGTAAAAAGGAAAGTTTTTATTTGATTTCCAGCTTGATTTATTTAACCGTGTAAGTGTAACCGTGAAATGTCCTTGAAATCCAAAATACGTTAAGTGAACACGTTAACTTTACACTTGTTCAATAATGTCAATGAAGAATGTAAGAGGAGGGCTTAAATGAAAATAATATATATTACTTCCAAGGAAACTGAACCTGTTGATCCTGGAGTACTTTTGACATTTGGACAGGGTATACATTCTACGGTTTGTTATGTTGTTACCGGTAGTGCGACTTGACTGAGGAGTAAGAACTGCAGAGGTTTGTGTATTGCTTCTAGACTTTAGACTGCCATCCGTTGCCACGCAACAAGTGCGCTCAATGAAAGCTTTCACTTTCGCTTTCTCATTTCTCGTGCTCTAAATTAGCGTTTGTGCTGCTTGTTTTGCTCCTTGCTCTGTGGTTTTTCTGCTCCGCTCTGCAATTAAAGCTGATGGCCCTGCTGGTGGCCCCCGCTCTGGCTTTGAGCTGGGGACAAATTGTCTTCGTGGCATGTGGCATGTCTTCGTGGAGCGTGGAGCGTGGAGCGTGGCATGTGTGCTGGCTGGCACAGCTGATAATTGCAGTAGCAGCGCCAGTGCCTCCTGCAATAAAAGTCACAATGACGACAGCTCACGACACATGGCCATGCCCTGCTTCGTTCTGTCCCGCTCCCAGGAGTCCCCTGCCGTGTGTGTGTTTGTGTTTGTGATTGACGGCCGGCGGGCCTTTTCCTGTGTATATCGTGCCTGTCGCGGCACTACAGTGAAGTTATTGTTAAATTCAATTTGCTGTAAATGTATTGTTGGCCCGGCTTGTGGTCGCCTCTGTTGCCTTTGGTTACAGCTCATTAGCAGCAACAGCAGCAGCACCCGACAAGGAAAGGAAACGCTGATAAAACTTTCGGTCGCTTCGTAAATTTCAACTCTTGCGATCGCAAACAGTTTGTACAGTGAATGCTGCCTATAAACATGAAATTCACATAATCATGGACAATTTTTTGATTTCACAGTAGGCTGCCAGTCTATGGTTGTAATATGATTCGTAAAAACATTCAGTACAGCTTATACATTCGTAGGGAACACATAGGAAATTGTTGAAAAATTAAGAGCCGATTTTGAACATTAAGTTGTTAAATGGAACCATCTCGATGTCCCAAACGACCTTTGAATGCATACGTAATGTGGATGAACTGTTCTGGACGTAGCATCATCAAGAAGAAACATCCCCAATCTAGCTTCATCCAAGTGGCCAGAAAAAGCAGTCGTTTATGGTCAAAGATGTGCGAGTACGACAAATCCATGTGGCATACATATGCGTCCGTGGCAATGATTCAATATAAAGCAAGGCTCGGCATTTGGAAATCCCAACAAGCTCAGTCGAAGTCATCCACAGTCTCACACAGTCACTCGTCGTCGGAAACTGCGGGAAGCCACCAACAATGGTCTGAACATTGAAGCATCAGCCATGCAGTCACAATTCAACAGGGATTACAGTCTGAAGATTACAGATTACAGACGAATCTCTTAAAGAAGTTAAATGTTTCGGATGTTATTTGGCATTTTTGGCAGACTTATCCGCCTGGCAATATGCGAACAAAAAATCTTAATCGTTCAATAAAATGCAAATAAAGGTAATAATTCCTGTTCCTTCAGCCTGTTCTTCAGCTACTATTATGCCCAACCGAGTACAATGCACAAGCAACAATGAGCCACTGTTGGACGTCCGTCACAATGGGGCTTACCTGTACACCTGAATCAAGCCTACAGACTGCCTGCCTGTATGTATGTTTATGTATACGTGTTTGTGGGCAAAAGCTCAAGCTCAGGGCTCAGGCTTTAATTGCCAACCGGCTGGCCGCTCTGTTTGTCTCGCCTTACTGCTGCCTGAGCCTGTGCCTTCTTGGGCCTCCCTGCCCCCTGCCTCATGCTTCGTGGTTCTGGGGATGTGGCTGTGGTTTGGATTTATGCTTGTTCTACATGCATGTTGTACAAACAATTTAGCTGTAACTGTAGCCCACACAACACACACTCATACACCATGGCGTGGCAGGCCAAGCCTGACGATTCGTATGTGTGCTGGACGACCTCCATTTAACACCAAACGTGTCATTTGTGGCCATTTGACGGTTGCCATATTTGTGTGTGTGTGTGTGTGTGTGTGTGTACTGGTAACTGTAAACTCTGCTGCTTTATGAGGCTTTGGCTGCATTTTGTGGTCTATTAAGTGGCTCGCAACTAAACCGAAAAAATTATGTATAGGATATGCCATCATCTTTATGCGACTTGTGCAACAAGGCGTATGATCGTTATGCTTCAAGTGAGCAACAAGCGTTGGCAAGCACATAAATCCCGGGTAGTCATTGGAATGGCCCACTAAAAGGCCAAAGTGCACTGCGGAACTGTTTCTCAGGAGTCTGGACAGGAGCCTCAGAGGATATAAACTAAAGTTCATTAAAAGTTAAATCTTAGAAGCACACGAGGGGGTTCTGGGCAAGCGAATGTTGAATGCTCTGGAGATGCTGGAAGGGTACTTGTTGCAAAAAGTTGTAATATATTCCACATATGGAGGCCTGAGGCCTCCACAGGAGTTACTCTCAGTGAAAGTCGTGATGTATTCCTATTGTTCGTTATGGCAGGACTTAACTTGATGGCAAAACTTGATCCCCGCTTTGAGGGTACCGATTAATCCATAATGCACACATCGTCTCAGACCCGTCGAATCGTAATACCCCCCGACAATGAAGAGTATGTAATAAAATAAGTGGGTAAGAATGAAAGGGGGAGCTGTGGCAACCGAGTCCACAACCAAGATGTTTACGACGCTGCTGGCGAGGCATGCAACAGTGGCAGAGGACACGGCAACCTCATGAATGTCGACGGCTTCGCCTACGCCACAGATAAAAGCGTCCAAGAAAACTTTTGCCTCCCAACCAAGAGGAACACCCCACGGCAGAAGCAACAGTAAACCAAGGCGACAGACAGGCGCACACATGCACGGACCTGTCTATCTGAACCTAAGCCTCCTCCAGGTTATGTGAGTGTATTAAAAGTACATAAAAAAAAGGAACAGAACAGGTGGAAGAACATTTAAAAGGGAAACATGGGAAGGGGGAGTAAAAGTGGGCAGTGAGCTGTGGGTCGCAGAGATATCTACACAAATAAACAAATTAATAAAAGGCAAATAATGAAACACAACAGAAACACGAGTCATAAATTAAATAGAAACAGCGAAAATTACTTACCCAAAAGGCACCAACCAGCGGGTGCCTTAAACAGGAGCAGCAGCAAACAACAACAAAAAAATGTCCTCTTCTGCTCCTGCTGTCAATTTTTTCGTAGCATACACACAGTCGCGAGCGTCAAAAAACTTTACCAAAAGAAATGAATGAAGGATGAAGATGGGTGTGCAATGGTTTGGCAGGGTACATGGTAGGGTACGGCACGTGGTAGGAGCCAGAGGGTGCCAGCACGAATAATCTACTAGCGATTTATTTGTTGCTGTCGCCGGAGACAGAGACAGAGTCGGAGTCTCTGTCGGAGCCAGAGACGAAGCTACCCCCCATCTGATATGGCTGATATTTTGGTTACTTCTTTTCCATATTTCTATTTCTGCTTGCCCTCAAGTAACGCCGATGCGGATGCCCATGCCGATGTCGATGCCGATGCCGAGCAGCTGTCGGCTGCTTGTACAACAAACATCGGTGGCACATTATGGTCGGGATTCGGTGCTCGGCTGTGGC